ACAAAACTAACCCAGATTTTAGCTGTCTACCGGATTTTCCTATATACCGTTCTTCCCCGCCGACTGAGACAGTTCAGCCGTCCTCGTGGAGGCTGGCCACGGCCATCCACCGGGGCTGCAGAGGAGATCCTAGCAGGGTGGGGAGGCACGCTGCCTTCCTGCAAGGGGCCGCCACCACCCGCGAGCCCTTCACGCCCCTGTGACCCCTCACGATGGCGCCCGACTGGCCCACAGCCCTACGGAGAGGCCTGCCAACGCCAGGCGGGCCTCACCGAGCCACGTTTACAGAGGACGAAACGAAGAGTCTGTGGAGCTACCCCACGTGACAAGGCAGGATTCGAGAAGCCAGGATGCACTCCACATCTGTTTGCCCCCAGATCCCGTGCCCTGCCCATGCACTGCACCCCTGCCCGCCCCCCGGTCGCACCCTGCAGCAAGGACTCTCAGAACCGCTCTGCCTGTCCTGTCCCAGCCTGTCCTGCCCCAGGGCTATGGGGAGTGGGGGGGGTGTCCCCGGCCTCTGCACCAGCCTCCTGGCCTCCAAAGACAGGCCGGAAGTGTAATGAGTACGGTAGATCTTCCCAGACACGCTCAAGTCCTAAATGTGTTTGACTGCTAGGGACCTCTGAAGATAACAGAAAAACAGTGTCCCGCAGGCACGAACATGAGCTTAACCAAGGTGGAGTGTGCAGGTGCTTCCCAGACGAGCTGATGCCCCCCAAGTGTGCGTGCGCCTGTTCTCACGTCTGTGGTCCGTTCGTGGTTTCTGTCACTGGCCCGGACCCCTGAGGGGGAAGAGACCATGTCATCTAAAGTCTGTGCTGGATTAAGATCTGCATGCTGTGCATTCGATCTGGGAAATCATAGTTTTAGAAATGTTTTCTGTCTGGTAAGGTCAACTTTTCCTTCAATTTCATGGAAAGGCTCCAATCTTGACTGATATTCAGTATCAGCTTAATCCTTTGGCTCTGGAATGGTTGTCCTAATTACTCACTCCTGCTCATGAACGCTGCGCACGTCAGAACCAGGCCTGGGCCTTGCGGGAAGCCGGCGAGCTGGGTGCCGCTCTCCGCAGCTGCGCCACGCCCCTGCCTGCTCCCTCGGCTCTCCCACCCCTCCTCAGGACCTCTCTTCCTGCCCACTCTCCCTGTCCTTCACCGGGGGCTCCTGCCTCAGCTCAGGCCCACCCCGCCTCTGGTACCCTCCGGGCAGGTGGGCAGGGCCTGGAGAAGCCGGGCTGGGATAGTCAGAAATGGGCAAGAAGCCCAGGTGGAGAGAAGAGACCTACAGGTGGCCCTTTCAGCGACCAGGGCATGACGAGGGCCAGAGGAGGTGCCCCTGACCCTATGTCCTGAATGTGAGGAGTGCAGACAGCACCTTCTCCCCAGAGAAGCTGCTGAGCCGGCTGGGGTGCCTGAGGCATATTCTCGGGGAGCACAGAGCTGAGGCTAAGCCGGCCACCCTCCCCTCTGGCCCAGATGCTGGCAGGGACACCGTGAGCCAGCTGACGGGGGCCAGGAGCGGGGCCCGGACCTGTGCCCGCGGGAAGACAGCCTCTCGCCCTGGCCTCAGTCCTTGGGTGATGCTACACCTGAGCTGGGAGCTCTGTTCCCGGCCTGGATGCCATGCAGGGTAGCCTCCACACCGAGCGCCCACAGCCCGCCTGGGCCGCACGCCCTTCGTGAGCAGACCCGCCCACGCCGCCGTCCACACCTCCACTGGGGTGGCCGGCTCCCACTGCCACGGGGGCCCGATTTGCCCACTGATGTGTGCTGGCCTGAGCGCTGGGGTGGATGCCCCAGAAGGGCAGGGGTTGCCCCTCCACAGCCCTGTGTGTAGGGTGCTGTCAGGCACGTAGTAGGTCAATAAAGACTAGCTGAACATGGGCTATTTGAATGAAGGTGGCGTATTTTTTTTTTTAAAGATTTTATTTATTTATTTGAGACAGAGAGAATGAGATACAGAGAGCATGAGAGGGAGGAGGGTCAGAGGGAGAAGCAGA